GTATATATATGTATGTATGTATATATATATATATATATATATATATAAATATATAAACACATATATTGTAAATATTGTTACGTGCGCGCGTTTCATTTCCTCAAGACTTTAGATAGAAAAAGAAAAGTACCTTCAAAAATGTCTTTTTCAAAACATTACGGTTCTCGAGATCTTCTTTTCCTTAATCAACGCTTGCAAGTGACATCGCACATTGAGAAGAGTTACAAGGTAAATTTATTATAGAAGCTTTTACGTTTGTAACAATAATTCGAAATTAATTTCATCGTAAAATGGCAAAATGCGATGGGAGATCCAGAAGATGATCTCCCGTCTCTTTTTTTCTCTTTCTTTTACAGTTCGCATATGAATTCGACATAAATGATAGCCTATTCATAATCTCGGACGCAGCTTAATTGCATAATGAAATGAATACAATGCAATTGATCTTTAAGAATACTTTTTAACTTTTCATTACATCTTTTTTTAATAGTACATTCACGATAGGACTAATAGAGTCTTCTTCATTCTCGCATCCCTTCCGTAAATCTATAACATATCGGGTGATGTGTTGCTTTCTCTCTCACATTCTCACTCTCTTCCTCTCTCTCTCTCTCTCTCTCTCTCTCTCTCTCTCTCACACTTTCTCTTTTTCTGACTCGCAAATCTTAAAATCTTATGAACTAAACAATTTATTTCTCTATATAAACAGCATTTTATAGATAATCTACATCTTATGATCTTATAATAAAAAATATGAATCATGGGGGCAGGATATAGACAAAAAGTAATAACGTCTTTAAGATGTTCGCTTATTAAAGGGGGGGAGGGGAGTAGCGCTCTATATACATATATATACACACACACACACGCACGCACGCACGCACGCATGCACACACACACACACACACACACACACACACACACACACACACACACATATATATATATATATAGATTCCTTTTAAAAAAAACCGCTTGAAACGAACATACTAAAAAAAACAATGAGTAAGTTGTAATGAGTGCATCGTGCGAGCCATTCCCATAAACCCACAGTATATACAATGTGTGATCATCATTAGATTTTTATCGTTTAGGTAAGCGATAGGAATAGATAGGAGTAACATTACCCTGCCGCGAATGCATGCACTTCAAAATTCTCATTTGCCTTGAAATAAGATACAAAAAAAAACGTTGGTATTGTCCCGAATTTAAGTGGCCAATCTTCGAGAGCGTGTAGGGAATCAATAAATTAAAGAAAAAAGATCTTTAGAGATAAAGATCATTTTTACTTCGTTTTAAAGAAAATCGCAAAAAAAAAGATATAATGTAATTTTTCAGTATATCATTTCTTCAAAGCGGAATATTATTTTCATGGATGATTTTAATGATAATGCTTCGCAATAACTAGAATATGCGCGCCGATTTCTAAATAGAAGAGTGCCGGATCGATGAATCATTATTGAAAGTTTACAACAGAAATTTCTTAGCATATTGGTAAATGAAAGATAAGACTAATCCATGTTTCTTTGTGCGCATTCCAGCGGAAGTGTTATTGTGTTGTCCGGAAAGTTCGTGTCGATTTTGAAGGAGAATTGAAACGCAGAAGATTTAAATTTTTAATTTCATTTATTAAATTTAAATCTTTTGCGGCACGAACTTTCCGGACAACCCAATACTTTGGAGGAGATTTACGTAGTCGCCGGCGAAATATGATGTAAGTGTTATGATGGGAGTTTTCCAGCAAGAGACACAAATTAATACATAAGAGTCTATCCTTGTTCAATAATCAATAAGAAACAAAGGACGGATTCTTGTGTTGATTTGTGCCTCTGCTGGAAAACTCCCATCATAACACTTACATCATATTTCGCCGGCGACTACGTAAATCTACCAATCGACATCCAGTGAATATCGGATTAATATCCTCATCTATGTTTGAAGAGAAATGAAATTAATAATATTGCCTCCTCTAACAACGATACAAGAAATGAAAAAAGTTATATTGGCAGATATCGTCACAATGTTATGTTTATCCAGATTTTTCGATCTGTCGTGCGTTTTTCTTTCGTAGCAGCATTTTCTCTCTATTCCATTCTTCGTTTTGTATAAAATTGGTCTTTATACCAATTCTGAATTTCTTCCTTATTATTTGCCATAACATTTATAGTAAATTGAAAGGAACATCGAGACCAGATCAATGTTTGGCTGCAACACGAGCTGTTCGTACAAGATGCGATGCGTGCATTGCTGTAAGAGAGGCCAATATTTCAAACAATAGACCTGTTTTTTTTAGTTGAACTTGGATGGTTTATCTTTTTCTTTCCAAAGTGGAGAGAAAAAGAAGAAAGATATATCATGCAAGAACTGTAGCTAAAAAGAATAGATCTAATATCTGCATTAAGCAAGTGACAATGTGAATAAATAAGTGTGAATGAATAAGTAATGAATAAGTACAAAAATGAAAACTATGTTTGTTTTTTCTTAAAATTTTCTCCAAAATGATGCAAAATTAGC